AATATTCTTTCGCAATGAAACCGAAACATCAACAACAAGACCTTCTTAGTTTTTTTTGTGCCTGAAATTCCTGAAAGTTTGAAAAAAATTAAATGAAGGTACGTACAGACGCCACACACATACCAAAGCATCTTGTAGTGGAGACACGAACCAAAACACATTTAGCTCTATATCTTTCCAACTAGTAGCCGGAACTCCATATATAAGGTATCGTTTGGAAGGTATTGGCCTATAGAATAATACTAAATATGGGGGTGTACCCTTGAACCGGCAAATGCAAAAAAAAACGTTTTTTGTTTCGCAACACTTTAGCCTAATTTTTAAGAATCCGGTTAATCGTTTATGAAGCTTGAATACATTTTCTGGACACACTCTGCAAGACCTTTCCAACGATACCTCAAAAATGTCTGGATAAAAACTTCCAAATCTCGTGTATATACATATAAGCGAGTCATTTCAGCATGTTACTGTGGCTGCTTTCGTCACACGCGCGCACTGCGGTGCGCTGTGATATATAGGCAAATCTCCGGAACCGTACGATTCAACGCTAAAATAAATAAGTTTTTAAATTGAACGCACAAAAATAAATTATACATCAAATTGTTTGAAATCCATTGCATTATTGTGTGATTCATGTTTCTCAAATGCTTAAAGAGTTATAAATACAAAACGATAATTTTTTAAAACCCAATGTTAGCGATACTTCTAGATGGCGTGGTTTTTGTCCGATTTCAAAGATTTTCAAGACAGTATTTAAAAAGGTCAGGCGCAATGTGTATATCAAATTTGGTACAGATTGGTGAATTGGTTTTAGAGATACAAATATTTGACACAAGTGAGCGGGTCATGCCCAGATTCTAAAAAATTTTACGAAAAGCCAATTTTCGCTTAAGATCCATTGAAAATATCACTTTTGAGAATATCTATATTAAAAAATCCGTTAACCGCGCTGCCCAAAGATCTGAAAATTCTTTGCACACACACATATATATTCATGGCCGTATTTTAGACAAAAGTTATTTAATTTGTTTAGCATTTTCAACGAACTTATGCCAACCTCTCATGTTTTAGTCAGTCAGTGTGCTATTGAGAAAATGAGAAATTTGAAGCAATTCACACAAAGACCTATTCAGACAAAATTTGTTATATTTTCAATATTTTGAAAGGCATACAACTGTAAGAGGTCTTATTTTATTCTTTAATGTGTAATTAATGGCTGCGTTTCTTTATAAATTCCGGATAATTCCATTTCACAGCCGGAATAAACAGAATGCGTTTGAAATACACGTTAACATATCATCAGGAACGTTATAAAGAATAAGGCACTCGGCACATTACGCGCCTAATCAAAGTAGAGTAATCGTTTCATCATACCGAAGCGAATGCATGACGACTCAACTTCTGCACACTTGCACGCCCTGCATAAGTCACCAGCTAATAAACACTTTCTACACATAACAAATTTTTTGGCCGTTCTTTCGCAACACACACTTCCGCAAATATTTCTGCTCCGAAATATTGCATAAACGCTTGTGGTTTAATGCAATTTGAACGAATTTAAAATTACTTCAAGGAATTGGGAAAGTAATCGATTCCTTTACTGTGAACTGAAGGAATTGATTCCTAGTTACAAATTCTGAGGAATGTAATTGTAATTGTAATGTAATTGCATTTACCCAGCTCTGTCCATGTGTATATGAAACTCCCATCTCGTTAGCTAGGCTATTTAAAAAGTTATAGATGAAAATATTTCGTTTCCCCATAAGGTTAACATTACAATCCGTTTAATCTACATAGTCCAACAAAGTACAAGTTTCAAGTCGCTAAAAATTACAGTTTATCTGCTAGAATTTTTACTTGTGGAGGGTGTTGCGCGTTTTCTTC